ATTTTGAAAAAAAAAAGACACTTCCTATATTTGTTATTTCACTATAAGTCAACTTTTAATTAGTTGAGTTATAATGTAATATCAAGTATTCTTTTGCTGTAGTATTAGGCATGAAATGTCTTTATGGGATTACTGTAATCCTAGCTTACATTTGACAATTTGTCACTCTAAAAAGGAGATAGCACCATCTGGAAAAATCCAGCAGCTGAAACCGAGAATTTCAACTTGTAGATACGGTTTAAACACTGGGCTTCCCAGACACTCAGCCCCTTCACAGCATTTCACATATTAAATATGAGGGTAATTTTTACAGGTAAATGACATCCTTTAAAAAGCATAAACAGAATCCCATAAGTTTGCCAAAGACTTCACTTACTTCAATGGGCAGGTCCTGCCTTAAAAAATAAGCTCTACATGTTAAAATCTATTACTCGGCTGATTAATTTTAAGTACGCAGCTTTGCTTGAGACTGGATACTGAGCTCTTCAAAGCAGTAAATTCAGAGAAGGCTTACCTGGTTCATTTATTTCGCTTAACTCAATAGACATGCTCTGGTGCCTTGTGGAATACCATACGGGTGAACTCAAGCTACTGATAAACTTCAAATGCATCCAAAACACAATACGCTTAGGGACTGTAATTCTTTAGAAAAAAAAAGTTCTAACAGGGATAGGACTAGGACTATTGGTTATACAGTGGCAAATGAACTTCCTGAAGGTTTTTCTCCCACATTATTACTGATGAGAAGGATGACACTCAATCTTTGCAGATTTGCAATTTTCAAAGATAAGGTGATATTTCTTAGAAACATTTAGTCTCATTAACCACCATTCTGAGGGGGATCCAAAAAGTCATCGTGTTCTCACAGAGGATGAGCTCATCACAGAATGTGGAGATAAAAACATCTGAAAGTACAGGATATAAATAATCTTCCTTATGGCGAGTCAATAAGCGTAGCTTGCTAAGAGCTTCTGTGAAATACATGTGCTTAGTTATCTGTGCCTTTGAAGTGGGTATGTGACTCACTAACTTTTGAGCTTTCCTCTGCCAGAAGTTTTAGGTGGGCTTTGGGAACTTTTAGGGAAGGGTCGCAGAGAGGCACCAAAGGGGAGGGGTGGGACAGGACGCTGAAGGGAGGTTTGGGGGAGGCATTTTCTAGATAGTGGTATTCCAATCCCTCTCCTTCATTCTCCTGAAGCAGAGGAGGACTGTTCTGTTTTGTATATGGGATTTTGTTTTAGAAGATATTTCTACTGGTCTTAGTTACTTTTCTCTCTTTGATGAGACAAAAATACCTAACGCCCAAAGTTAAGGGAAGAAGAAAGTTTATTTAGCTCACAGTCTGTAGATGCTTCAGTTTGTACTCACCCTGCTGCAAGGAAGGATAGCTTGGCAGAGGGGAAATACAGAGAGCAGTTCAGAGTGTTCAAGGGTAGCAAAAAGGCAACAAGGGACCTCAACCGCATCTTTCTGCCCCTCATATCTTATCCAGACTACTTAGGATGAGTAGCACTCAGAACCTTAATCCCAGTGCCCTTGAGCCTAGCACTGCACCATGAATCAGTCCCAGTGTCACACACTAGGAAAAGGCCTCACTGTAACTGTGTGAGGCTTTGGGAGAATATGTAAATACAACCCATAACACTACTGTAGGAGCAGATGCTGAAAATGTTTATGAGACTTAACCATGGCGTACCGAAGGCCTGTATCCACTCCTTCTGAAATCGTACTATAATAATATTAAAGGAAGGAAGATATGGATAAAGAAAAGGAATGAAAACGCCACACAAGCGAGTGTGAAAAATGGGGAAGACACAATGCGGATGCTTGAGAGAGATTTGACTGAACCACCTGAGTCTGCAGGTGCCTGTAGGAGTGGCTGGTGGGGAGCAGTCAGCACTGCAGAATCCTGGAAATGTCCAGGATTACCTGAGCTACACCTCAGGTACACAAACAAAGACCGAACACCTGAAATGCCCCCACACTGGCTATTTGCTCTGTCCAATTGTGCCCTGGCAGAATGAGGAGCTTCACTAATGAATCACAGAGGCTCTAGACTGGAAGACACACAGGCGTAGCAGAGGCGGTGATGATGTGCTGAACTAAACCTAGAAAAAACAGGAAAATTCTACATGCTAACCTTTCAGTCTTCCCCTGCTAAGGCCTTAAAACACGGAGTCAGGCTTTTAACTTCTCGATGTGATCCAGTAAAAAATTCCAAGAAAATGTTTTGATAAACTTAATTACATAATTTAAAATTTATATGGAACAATAAAAGAGCAATATTATATTTTCTCATTTCTTTGAAAACATTAATTTTCTTTCTTGCTGAAGAAAAAGTGTAATGAGAAGGACGTTCCTGTCTAGATATCAGGACTTTTTTTTTTTTTTTTTTTGGTACGAAGGAAGGATCGAACTCAGGTCCTTAGGCAGGCGGCAGAACCACTGAGCTAAATCCCCGGCCCTGGTCTTACTTTAAAGCTATAGTAATTAAGGCTACAGTCTGGGTGCAGGGATAGAAATGGTAATAAATCATATAGAACGTAGGAATTAATGTACAGCATTTACAAGAATAGTCTAATAGATCAGTGACTTAAAAGAGATTGTTCTGTAAATATAGTGGAGGGAAAGCTGTCTATAAGGAAAAAGAAGAAATTAGACTTCTACACTATATCAAGAAATCAACTCCTGATTGATTTTAGACTTCTAAAAACCAAGACATTTAGCTCCTGTTAGGAAATTTCATAAATGTGTGTAAGATCTTGGGACACAGGAAGATTTCTGATAAAAGACACAGACAACACTGACTAGCAAAGAACGATTTGATAAAGTTCACTATGTTTTAAAAAGAAAAGTTTGATAAAGAGAACTCTATTAAAATAAAAAACTTATGGTTATAAGCTACACACAAATGAAGCACAAACAAGTTACCATCTGAGGAAAAATCTGTGCAATATGTATACTATATCAAGTTTTATGTCTAAAAGATTTTGATAAGTCCGTAAGAAAAGCACAGAGATAATGGAAACTTGTTCACCAAACCCAAAAAGACATTTTATAGAAGAGAAAATAAGTATGGCTAACAGATACAATGGAATACAATTTCATACTTATTCAACTAAAAAAGTTGAGAGAAAGAGGCAATACAGTCCTAGAGAGGCTATAGATCCACAATCTCTGAAGTATAGCTGACAGGAGTATAACAATGCAGGAACACAGTTGCCATTGCTTTGTAAGTCTCAATAGCCATACATTTTTCTAGTAAATTCACTCCTATGTATACTCCAAAGAGAAATTCTTGCACACGGACAGCAGGAGACATGTACAGGAACGTTCATGACCAGCACTGCTTATGAGAGAAAGTCCTTAGAAACAACACAATGCCTATTGTCAAAAAAATGGCTAAACTGTGGTATATTTGCTTAATAAAATATGATGTAGCAGGCAGAACTGGCAAGTGAAAAATGAAGCAATTCTAACTTAATGAGAAAAAAATAAAATTTAAGTAAGCAGTTCTTTGATATGGGAAGAATAATATATGTTCTCAATAATATAAGCATTAAATAGTTATTTGAGCATAAATCATGATGTAATTATAAAGGGAGAATGGGAGATAAAATATATAGATATGTCTATGGAAGAGCTGTGAGAAAAACCAGATAAATTCCAATTTTCTATCACTGACACTCAATAGATGGTTATTTAAAATAAAAACTAAGAAAATAAACATTTTATTTAGAGATATATACCTAAATAGCAGAAGAAATAGCCAAGGAATTAACAGTTAGTGCTCCGGAGACTGAGACAAGGGTAAACACACACAAAACATTCATAAGCTGGAATGCCACCATTTTCCTGAAAACAATGTTCTGGGTAATTCAGCCCGTGGAGCGCCCGTACTTATAACGATTTGTAGATTGTCTCTGTCTTCCTTAATGCAGGTAGCCTATGGAATGGCAGCAGGGAGCTTCTGAGAAATGCAGAATCTTGAGCCCCACCCACTCCTACTGAGTCAAAATTTTCTTTTTCTCCCTCTCCTTCGTCTTCTTTTTTCCAGAACTGTGGATTGAACCCACCCTGGGTACTGAACCTTTGCACTGAGCTACATCCCCAACTCTTTTTTGGACAGGATTTCACTAAATGGTTAAGTTGCCAAGTTGCCCGGATTGGGCTAGAACTTGTGACCATACTGCTTCAGCCACCAAGTGCTAGGATTAAAGGTGTGGGCACCATGCCTAGTCAGAGTTTTTATTTTAAGAAACTCTAGATGATTCATAAACATATTAAATCTTGAGAAGCAGGCTGGGGATTTAGCTCGGCGGTTCGGTGGCCTGCCTTGCAAGCGCAAGGACCCAAGTTCAATCCCTGGTAAAAAAAAAAAAAAAAAAAATTTGAGAAGCTCTGGTCTACAGGCTTGTTTTCTATGTAAAATTATAATCTCGATATGTTTTATTAAGAATTAAAAATTATACAAATTACCAATGATATTCTGAAACAAACTATGACCAGTGGATAATATCCTGAAATAAATTAAGACAAAGAAAAACTACTTGGAGGACAGACTAAGTAGAGTAATAAACACTGAATGATCAAAGTGTGATCTATATTTCTCAGTTACTGGCATTCATTGCAGCTAAATACATTGGGGTGATTCTGGGTGCTTTGGGACTGCTTCATGAGAAATCTGGTGGTTGGCCACACATCTAAACTACTGGTTGGCTTGTTTTAGAAGTGTGACTTGGTTCCCTGATCAGTCTGCAAAACCAGTATGGTTTTGCAAATGAAATATGAAAATCTGACCTGAAGTAGCTGGGCCATGAACCACAAACAACTAATAATAAACCAACAGATGAAGAATGGTCTAGAAGCCAGATAAAGATGGTAGTATTATGGAGAAATAACTACTGAAAGAATCAGAGGCTATCTTTTGTTAGACATACAGTCAGGTGACAAAATCCACTTAGGTACATATCAGAAAATCAACTCAAAAGAACACTCACCGAGAGGAAAGGCTTGGCTTCCCACTTTTGCTACAGCTGGTATAAATTCCTGGGCCATCATCAAAGAAGCTTCCAAGTGCCAACTTCTGTCTGATAGACTCTCTCTCATTTTTCTGTGCCTAAAATTTCAAGAAAATAAAAAATGCTGATAAGTGGGCAGATATATCACAAGTTAGGCAGCCTAACTTGCTAAGTTTCTTAGAACTGCAACATTAGATGAAAAATAAATAGATGGACTACGGCCCATGAACATTTGAATTATTAAAAGCTGAAACAGAACCAGTCTTTTCTGGTTCCAATTTTAATTCTTCAGAGACTTTTATGATCTCTAGTTTAGGTAGCAATCGTCCTGGTGTCAAATGATCTTCACAGGGACAGAAGTGGGATCTTTAGCTCTACAATCTTTCTCCTTACCAGCTAGAGATGGAAGGGTAAAGACATGGAAGGCCAGCACTTTCTTCTAAATTCAGCCACTCTGATCTCAAATGTGGCCTTTCTCTAGATCTTGTCTTTTTTTTTCTTCTTTACACACCCTCTGTGGCACGAACATTAACTCATTTGACCAGCATTCAGCAGCCTCTGAGAGCTTGTAGATACTACGGTATGGTGTTGGATGAGCCCAAGACAAGACAGACATGGTACCTGCCTGTACCCACCTTATAGTTTTGGGGACTATTGTTTCTGTTCAGGAGTTAGCCTCATCTCACCAGGTTTAGAATGTGGGAAACCCTAAAAGTAAGGTCTGGAATAGCTGGAGAACTGAAATTGGGTCCATCTATTTCATATTTTGAAGAGAAGCATGCATGTATTGGAAAAAGATTTGATAAATTACACCACTGTGATCATTTGGATATGTTTACAATATTCTGCTTTCTGTAAGAGTCCAATAAAAACACACCAAGCTAAACTTAAAAATTCAATTCCTCAATTAATCTGGCCTCATTTCAAGAGCGCAAGCATCACAGGCTAGTGAGTATCATACTGGGCAGCACAGAATAAACTTTGCTCAGTACGGTACAATGAGGCCAGTGCTTCCTAAGTTTCAGCTTCATTAGAATGATTAGAAATGATTTCCTTAAAAATAAAACAACTACTACTGTACTAGTACTACTACTACCACCACCGACACCATCACCACCATCACTAGTACTACTGCTACGAAAGAAAGAAAGGACAAACAAACAAAAAACAAAAATAAAAACTCGCGACGCGACGTC